ATGTGCCAAGGTGGTGAAGGGTATCAAAATAGTCGGCCCCGTCTGACTTTACTACTTTCCTTATAGTTTTTTTATAAATTTACAATATAAAATTAACAATATTGACAACAAATTCTATGTTGACTTAAGTTAGTTTTAATATAGACTGCATCTTAGGAGTATTTCGCCAAGGACAAAATTATTCTACATCGAACTTCACTATTAGTTACAAAAGAAAAGATTTTTGTAAACCCGATATTTATTTGTAAAAAAAATATCTTTATTGGGTATATACAGCAAATTTTCTATTTTGATTACATTTCGCACTTTTTCCAAATAAATTGGAAACTACCCATATTCTCTGCAAATCGTAATATTTTTCCAAACCTACATTAAGTCTTAAGATGGGATCTGATAGCTCTCTAAAGATGGTCATCTATTTGATAAAAACATATACCTCATATATAGCTGTTTTCACTTTTGTTTTTAATTTATTAAGAACTATAAAATACATTTTTCAGAAGTTGTTGGAAGCTCCGAGAGTAATTACCAATATTTTTAAAGGCTAAAATATGGAAAACTATAATATTATTATGCAGGATATGCGGGTCATATTTTATTGTATTTCTCTATTTTGAAAATATTTTCAGCTATATTTAGCATTCCGGGTTTGTGGAGAATGAAAAACATATTTGAAAAAAAAAATTTATTTTTTCTTAAATAAAGCTCCCGAAGTGACTGAAATTTGGCATCCCGAATTGCAGATGAATTAACTAATTCTTCCCACTATTTATTTGCCTTTATTATGGGTTTTACTAATAATTATAAGAATTTTAATCCCTTATACCTTAAATGGTATATGGCATCGTGCATTTGCCAATCTCGGACTTTAATATTTTCCTTATTGAATTTATTACAACAAAACATTATTTTTAGTGCAAAAATTTCATATAATTTGCTTTAATATCATCCCCTAGAAAACCTCCCCCATGATTTTGATGACTATTTTTGGCAACAGCTAGGGAGCGATATATAGACAATTATATTTAAAATGCCATCATTTTAGAGGTGGGCGGTTATGGTGCTAAAAAAAAATGCGGTTAAAAAATTTACATATGCTACGTTGACAAAATTACGAACCCTGAACCTTGACAAATAAAAACCCCAATATGGAAACTCCAACCCAAACTACTGTCATATATACATATACGTACGTTATATATCTTATTTCCGTCCCTATTTTCCTTTTGGTGCGAAAATAGCATGATTTTTATTAGGCTGTTTGGCGGTAGCAGACATTGAAGTTACGAAGAAATGGTAGAGGAAGTAAAGTGAGATTTTTCGTCGAACAATCTACCGAGCAAGCAACCGTCACCATAATAAATGACACAAAACTGAATATGAAATTTCAACAAATTCATGGCCCTTCAGTGTGTGGCACAAAAAAAATGCGAAGGTAACTGTGATATGTTAATGATGATATTCACGTGAAATGATGGCGGTGACGGTGAGAACGGTGGCGTTTTGTCACAGCGTTCTATTCTTCTTCTTAGGTTAAATTTGCTTTTTATTACCTAGGCCATAATGTATGCTGTGCATATCAAATGACTTTTAATGAGGCTGATAACAATAATGTCGCTTGCCTACAAATTACCTTTGGAGAAATTATTGTCACATAAAAAGAATTTGCAATACAATGAAGTAAGTGGTGGAGGAAGGCGGGATGGGCAAGGCGGAGGTCGCCACATCACGTTTATGCTATTCACTCAACATTTTGCGTGTTTGCTCCACTCTACTCTATTCATAAATTTATAATTTATTAGAAAATATGACATTAAAATTTGAAATATCCTATTAAAATTTTATTACAAAAAAAAAAGAAGAAACAAATTCAATATGTTTAACATGTAAGTGTGAGGGTGGGTTTATGGGAAGAACAATGCGAGCCATGGAAAAAATATGGGGATGAAGATCTGAAGAACAATTTATTTTGTAACTTTTTTGTCGTTAATTTGCCAAATAGATTTGAGATTCATTCCTCTGTTTCTCCTGTCACAAGCACATAACTTCTATAATGTCCACAATAAATGTTATATATTCAGGTGACAATCAATTGACAATGCATGCTGATTTTGTAAAGAATATTTTAAATATTATTATGTCATATTTTCAGATGGCGTGTGATAAATCTGTCATGCATAGAAGGAACACTAATAGGTCTCCTATTTTTCGAAAGGTATTTTGCTAATATTAAGAACATCTGTAGATGTCGTATGTGTATAAATGGGTTTGTAAATAGGTATCTACTTATAGAGAAAAGACATAGCAGGTTTTATATAATGCAAAAACTTGGGATACCAAGTATTGAAGATCCAGAATATTTCTTCATGAAAACAAAACCTTCAATTTATGAAATACTGACATATCATGAACTTAAAGACAAATTATGAAATAACTTATATCGAAACAAGACCCAGAAACAGAATTACCTTTACATAAGGAGGTATTCATCCATAGAAGGCATATATATATATATATATATATAAAAGGACATCCATCTAGATGCACTTACGTCGATATAGAAGAGATATAGCAAGCCTTACATTAAAGGAAGAAATACCATTTAAAGATGATCCGTAAACAGTATTCCATTTATTTAAGAAGGACATCTGCAATTTAAAAAGGTTCTTAGAATGTATCTATATAAATAGTTTTTTATACATTTAGCCTTATGGCTAATGAGCCTTTGTGCCTCATCAAAAAAATGTGCCTCATCAAAAGATTGGTTTTAGACCCCATGTTTCTTTGGACCAAATCCGTTTCAGAAAATTTGGAGTCGATTTAGCCATGTCCGTCCGTTGTCCGTCTGTCTGTCTGGCTGGCTGGCTGGTGCGCACGTTAACTCTCGAAGGCCGCAACCGATTTCATTCAAACTTTGCACAACCTTATATTTCTTTCAAACTTAGTTTAATTTAAAAGATGGGGAATATCGGTCAGGGATGGTCCGTGTGACGAAGTTTTAGGTTTTCGACTGTCAAAAAGGTGTAAACGTCGAAAACGTCATATAACTGTATAAAATGTAATAAATGTAGTAAACGTCATTCATTTCAATATTATCAGCATATAAAGTTATTTCAAAGAATATATATTATTTTTACATATATCTGACTATTCCTTCCTAGAACTGATAAAAATTTCTAATTTTTTTTGAGAAGAAAATTTTCAATTTTTTTATGGATTTGAGTAAAGCATGCGTAATTTCCAATTTGATTAATGGAAATAGCTATTTTCAAAAAACCTAATGGATTTGGGTAGGTTTCCGACGTTTCTGACATATGTTTTATACGTCGGAAATGTACGTCATTAACGTCACTGTTTCTGACAGACCATCTCTGATATCGGTCCACTCCTTCTGGTACTTTCCCCACAAAATGGTCAAAATTGTGCAAAAAAATTAATTTTATAATAACATGCAAGCGGACTATCCGATTTTATTGAAACTTAGTACAACCTTTTATCTTTACCAAGCCTAGATCAATATTGAATTTTCAATATTTATAATGCCAATATCAAGCTAATGGAATGTCCGTTTTGAAATAAACTTTGCACAACCTATTACCAAGCCTAGATCAAGTTTGAAGATGGGACCCATTGGTTCACTCCTTCTGGTACCTCCCCTACAAATTTTTCAACATTGTGCTAAAAGTTAATTTTATAATAACGGACTATCCGATTTTAATAAAACTTTGTAGAACCTATTATTTTTACCAAGCCTAGGTCAAGTAGGAAGATGACACCCATTGGTCCACTCCTTCTAGTACCTCCCCCACAAATGGTCAACATTTTCAATATTTGTTAATTCAATACAGGCGAATGGAATGTCCGATGTGAACCAAACTTTGCACAACCCATTATCATTACGAAGTTCAGATTAAGTCCAAAGATGGGAACCATTGGTCCACTCCTTCTGTATGTATGTATTTTCTATTTATAGCCCCTCTACCATAATTTTTTGGAATTTTCCGATAATTATCAAAAAATTGAAATTTGTTGCACAGTGTAACAATTTTTTGGGATTTCCCGATAATTATCAAACAATTTAAATTTGTTGTACAATGTAATTTTAAAATAAAACCACCAATATGCAGATTTATAAAGAATTTATGCAGTACTTCTTACTATAGCTCCTATAATCTCCATGAAACCTCGATAAATCTTACATTCTCTCCTCAACGCCTTTCAAAAATGCCGTTAATTAACAAATAAAATGGCACGTTTTATATGTTTGAGTTAGAAATAATTCACAATTTTTATTAAACGTCCACAAATATGCATTAATTCTTACAAATCTCTCTACTAATGTCCATTTGGTATATTATTTGCTTGACGCGAACGTTGAACATCCTCCTTAAACCATTTACCCACATCCGTGTTAAGAATACACAAGAAGGCACGATAACACCACAATTCCTTATTACTATTCTGAGCCGAACGATTACAATTGCTGATGGTGGGTAACATAACCTCATCATTGACACGATTACGATATTGATTATAAATTCTCTCGATATTAAAACCTGAACGATTTGTCCATATTTCCAATTCCATTGCCAAGCAATGAACATATTTGTGTACAATCTCTTCATCGGGATAACGAAATGCCTGAAAGGACGCTTTATAACGTTGTGGTACATGTAGCTGATCGAAACATTTTTCCGATTTATCATAAAACCGATCCGATATGGTATTTTGGGCTGTGGCCAGAATCTGTAAGAGAAGAGATTTTGTATTTATTTTATGTTAAATTTAAAATGTTCATAAATATTTACCAAAATATTACAGCCTACGAGAACTGTAAATATTCTAGATTTCATATTGCCGCTAATTGCAATTGCTGCCTGAACCGGTTTTAATTGTTCCGATAGCTTCAAATGTCCAATTGATACTGTCCAATTGAACTTTGTATGTAGGTATTTTTCACATTTGATTTGTTATCTGCTACTATTTTTGCAATCAGTTGCATGCTGAACGCCCCCTTGTCTGGTGCAATGGAAAGGGTTATTAAATATGAGTTATATAGAGTAATGATTTAAAGAAGTATAAAATTAGACAAAAGGTTTATTCATTATTTATAGTTTAATTTATAATTTTCAATGTATTTATAATTTTTAATTTATTCGAGAAGTATTAGTGTTCGTAGATATATGGTTTTCTGAGCAAGGATGCGGTGAAAGGGGAAGTTTCGACTTCTATTTAAAATGTTGTGAGTGACATTTATATACAATATTTGAAGTTCAAACAAAACACACATTGTGGTATTAAGTTTGCGGTTCAACAAAATAAGGACGGAAAAGATGCAAGGACCGTAGGTAGAAGGAAGGTATGTTTTACCAAATTATTCCTCATTCGACTTTTCATGCACTCTAGAGTTACGAGCAAAGAAATTCATGGCGCTATAACTCCAACTTGATCTCTGGTCAGTTTTTCCTTCTGGATTTTTAATACTCGCCAATGTCTTTATTCCCCATACCATGAGCTCGATTTTGTGTCACAGTGTTATAGGAATATCAAAATGTAAAATAAAAAAATAAAATGTTATCTTCATTATTTTTTTCATATAAATTTTTGTTCGATATATCTACTTCAAGAAATTACCTTTTGTATCCCAAATATAAATTTCAATTTTTTGGTTCTATATATCCCACATATTATAACCCTTTTGAGGTTATAAATAGCCATACATTTTTTTCTATATGCAAATGATTTGCTCTGTATATTTCCCGTTTAATTAATTAAGATTTATTATAGATGTTGTATTTAAACGACTGTCTTATTTAGCTACACTCAAGCAAAAACTGTAACATATAATCAAGAATATAAACTCAAATGTATCTTTCTAATATTTTATTTTGTTTCTTTTTATTACAGGTAAGAATTTATTGAGCATATTTAACAGTAAGTGTTTAAAATATAATTTATGTTATCAGTAATAAATTCCAAGCGAATAATAGCTGTCGTATATAGTGCCACTGGATTATTAATTGTATGCTATACCGCCAAAAGTGGTCGAATTTTTTATACATTCCATCATATGTTACTGATGGTTACTTCCAAAATTATTCAAAGACTCACATAAAGCAACGAATGATTTTAGGATTTTTAAGTGCAAATTCCCCTAAAATTTCAAAGATTGAGGTAACTCAAAAATATCGATTTATATAAGTGAAAATATAAGTATATATAAAGGAAAAAGGCGTTAAGTTCGGCCGGGCCGAACTTTGGATAACATTCACCATAGTTATACTGACAGTTACGTGACATAAACATATAGGGAACATACCAAAAAGTACACCGATAATTTTATCGCGCGGTTGCTGTAAACCATGTACAAATTTCAGCAATTTTATATATTTTTCCTAGAACCCCAAAACTTGGACCGATAGGCAGATAGCAACAGATGGTAAACCGACTAATCTGTCTTAGAATTATATACTTTTTAAGGTATAAACTGACAATTTTATGACAATGACAACGCGGAACAAGTTAGTTATCTCTTTTAATAAAAACAGGGGATTATATGGGGACTACTCCCTAAAAGGGGCGAATATAAATAATTTTCGGAGGGAGATTTGTTACCATATAAGACTACAAAGTACCAAATTACACCGAATTCGGTTGGAAAACGCACCAAAGAAAATACCGAAAATTGGGGGTACCTTTATACAGGGGCTACCCGAAAAAATGGACCTATATTTATAATTTACTAAATTACAGCCAATTCGACTACAAAATTCCGTTGAAAAACGCTCAAAACCCTCAAAAATGCGAAAATTTGAGAATGGCAAATTATAGAGAATTCGGTCGATAAACCCGCTCAAAATCCCCAAATGACGAATTGTGGGTACTACCAGAAAAAGTGGACTATATTTATATTTTTTCGTGGAAACATTTCGTACCCAATTAGAAGTCAATGTACACTATGCTAAATTTTGGCGATCTATTTCAATTCGTTTAGACACTAGAGTGATTAAAACAGACGGACATGCTCGGAATAGAACTTTTCGCTGATCAAGAATATTTACTTTATAGGGTCGGAAATGATTATTTCGATATACCCTATATACTAAGGTGGAGGGTATCGAATATTGTTGTGATATTGTAACTGTTCCGATATTTGACATCACACCAGAACCTCCATTTTCAGAGCAGATTTTCCTTAGGGATTTTGTTAGCATGAGAGACTTAAACATATCAAATTACAGCTCTATGCAAATTTCGGCACTATCTCACTTCCAAAACTTCCTACATACCCCAATTCTACACCCCGACAGTGATGTTAAATCCAAGTTTCAGGATTCCAACTCCATAGGCTCACCCACAATTCAAATTGTATCAAATTTTGTACACAGTTGTACCAATTACAAAACTTCATATATAGTACGAATTTACAAAACTCCCTTAAAACTCCAATCCTACACCCCGACAGTGATTCTAAATCCAAGTTTCAGGATTCCAACTCCATAGGTTCATCCACAATTCAAATTGTACAAAATTTAGTACACAGCAGTACTTATTTCCAAAACCTCCTTCCTACCCGAAACCTACACTTCCACAGTCATCCCAAATCCAAGTTTAAGGAGTCCAACACTATTGGTGCACCCGCAATTCAGCCCTTTGCTACATCTATTCTACACTCCATCAGTGAACCTCAATCCAAATTTCAGAATTCTAGCTCTACTGGTTCGCCAAATACAAATGATACCATATTCAGTATTTTTTAGTACTTTTCGTACGAATTTCCAATAACCCAGCCTTATCTGGCACCCTTGGACCAAGAGTGACCCTCACCTAAAATTTCAATTTTAGATAAATATTAAGCTTAGTTAAAGGGTACCTCTTGTGTATATCCAAATGTAAATATGTACTGCGTCATACAGTCACGTCCGCCTTTGGTCTTTTTCGTACTGTAGGTCGAGGTTCACAATAACAAATATTGTTTCACTCTCTCTTAATTGCGGTCCAATTCATACAGTGGCTATACAAGTTTTAGGACTACCTAAAGTTTATATGGATGTATGTACATAGCCATTTTACATAGGGCGGATCGGGGATATCGATCTTTCAATTTATGTCGATAATGGAAAGAATTCAAACGCAACATTTTTAGTATTTCCACTAATAAGCGACTAACTTATTTTGTTGTTGACGTGCCAAGACACATCGCTAATTATCAAAATTACAGGCAAATTGGCACGACTGTGTAACTGTCAGTATTTTCATCGTTAATTGCCTAATGCCCGTTCCTTTGATTGATTTGCACTATAAAATATTCCGCTCTTAAAAACTACTGATGCATTTCATAGTATTTTATGTTGTGTCCTCATTACGAATAGATCATTTAACACTGAATCTTTTGATGTTATTAAACACATGATTTCAATTTGTGTGTTTTATTTTGTTATAAAAATGGAAGCTAACATTTTCTAATCCCGTTTTACTCCCACATATATACATTTATAGGTATATTTCAACTCTCAAGAATTATTTTAATTTTAATGACTTGAACATATTTCACATACCGCTCTTCAACTCACTTAACATTTAAGCACGTTTCATTTAATTTGTGGTTGTTCGTCGTAGTGATAAAGAATGTCTCCCTCACTGCATTTGTCTGCTAGTCTATTACATATACCACGAGAGACCTATCATGCACGTAAGTGTATGCGTGTGTCTGTGTGCATTACAATTTCATTATAAACTTTATCAATTTATTGTGTTGTTGTTACTGCTGCTGTTGTCGGGACATAATGCATTTTCCCTATCCTTGAAAACAGTCAAACAACCCGTCATCCAGCCAGCCGCCAAGTGAGAGTTGTGCAATCTTGTTTTCGTCGTCGTTGTTGTTGTTTTGTATAATGAAATGTTTTGCCTCTAGTCCTGTGAGAAAAAAAAAACCAAGAGCATTTGTGTTCTGTGTCAATGGCAGAGCATAACACCTAACTTCATAGACATCCATATAGCGGTGTGTATGTAGATGTGTGTTGTTGTTACTGCACAGCGCTTATAAATTGAGGCACGGCAATAACTCTGTAGGCCCACTTTTAGTTCTTTTAGAGTGCAATCGCTTGCAGGCTTGGCATTAACAACGATTGCATGGCGTTTGTAAAAAAACAGAAATCCCGAACCAACTTTCTACAGCTTTCGTTTATGCGTTTTTTTACAAAACATTCTTGTTGCTGTTGTTTTTTACCTACATTTACGTGGGTGTCTCCCGAGTACTTTATTTTATTGTTAAAAGTTGTCGTTCAACACAGAGGCACTCTTAACCATAACAAAAACAACAACATCGAGAAATTTTTAGTGCAATTGCAACAGGGAGGGATTTGCGAATCGGGAGAGGGAACCTTAAAAGCCACTTTTAATACTCCATGTTCTTAAAAAACTGATCTGTTGATGTTTATAAAGACCAATAGAGGCCACAGGTATTTATAAAGACCAATTGGACTATATAGAGATCACAGGTCTTTATAAAGATCAATTGGTCTATCTGGAGGCGACAGGTCTCTGTAAAGACCAATTGGTCTATATACCGACCACAGGACTTTATAAATACCAATTTGTTTATATAGAGACCACTTGGTCTTTATAAAGACCAATTGGTCTATATAGAGACAACAGGTCTTTATAAAGACCAATTGGTCTATACGTAGGCGACAGGTCTCTGTAAAGACCAATTGGTCTATATAGCGACCACAGGTCTCTATAAAGACCAATTGGTCTATATAACGACCACAGGTCTCTATAAAGACCAATTGGTCTATACATATACCACAGGTCCAATTGGTCTATATAGCGACCACAGGTCTTTATAAAG